AAGTCAGTTTATGAATCCCTGGGGTGAAACTTTAACTATAACAAGACTAGAATTAAAAATTGAGAAATATTGTTTTTGTTTATTTAAATGATTTTTTTTWAAAAAAGCTAGTAGAAAAGGGGGAWAAAAAGCATACATAGGTAGGCTATGAAGACCACATACCAAAAAGGAATGAGTTGTATCTAAAATTAAAAGTAATAGATCAGCAGGGCCAGAGAAGGGAAGAAGAAGAAATTTGGGCAGATAATCCCAGGGAATTCAGGCAGATAATTGACAGATAAAACTGAAAAGAGTGGGCAGGAAGACAGTGGAAACCCCTACGGGGGTCCAATCTGAATTATCTGTCAGCTTCAAGGAGAACAAGGGAGTTCCAGAGTGGGAGGCAATAGGGGGTCCAGAATAGGTGCTGGAGGACCGGAAGCTGGAGTTAAGGATTCTGAATCCAACACCAAGGGGCTGGGGTGAGGGCCTGCAGGGTGGGAGGTTACACCTGAAAAGCAACCCACAGAGGCTAATGGAGCTCCACTGGGGGTGGGGGAGGGCTGGGGCTTGGGGAATGGGTTGAGGTGAAATCCAGAAGGAATGATGTTTATGGCAAGATGCTATGGAGAACATTCAGAGTGGCAGCTGAAGCCCAAGATGAGTGGTGGTCAAAGAGGAAGGAGGCTGAATCAAGGGAGAGAAATGAGACTTGAGGTTGCATAGAGACTAAAGAGAGGTCCTAGGTTTTATAAGCTGCAAGGAGGGTCAAAGCAGGATGGTCTATGGCTCTGATGAGCCTGGGGCTGGGAAGAGGGAACGTAAGCTTGGGAACCAGCCTCCCTGTCCATGTGAGCAAGGCTCCTTGGGCTGTGCCTTGGGACTGGAGAGCTGGACAGTATATGCTGGGGCTTATCTACATTGGGGAAGTGACGTGCATTCATGTCCTTAGGGGACTCACACAYTAATCTTCAGCATTGCTGCTGGTGTGTGCACCACACTTCCCAAGSCACTGTTTAACCCATGGTCTGCCTCTTAGGAAAAAACGAACCTAACAGAGACTTTTTGCCCCTTCAACAAGGACCTCTGTCATCTACACAGTCTCATTAGCAATACTACAGGAAGTTTAGGAAGGACACATTTTGTGAACTTAAAGTGATGTTTTATTGTAAATAAGTTCTAAATTTCATAAAAGGCTAAARTCAAAAGTGGAGAATGTGGAACCAACTGTTGGTAGTTGAATCATTACCTCTTTAGATTGGATGGATTCCTCACACTTATCATCAGAGTCTGACTTGATGCTGTTCACAGCACACAGAGTAGCAGGGCTGGTGTTTCTTTCAGTAGAGTATGTCATTGACTCCATCTCTTCATCGACTTTTTTAATGTCCTTAAATGAAGAATATTCAGATTATCATTAGAATGATATCTTAAAAATTCAATGGAATTTTATTAAGTATCTCTTTAAAACTTACTGCTTTTCCTATTAAAACTGGAATATTCTTATGCAGTTCTTGCTCAACCATTTCCAGACTTGAGAGCTAATAAGTCTAATTCATACTCAAATGTTAGTGATTGACAAAAGCTTGTTGTGCCTTTTCCAAAGACATGTATAAATTCACTGGAGAAAACAATGTCTTAGTCCAAAACAATTATGCCACTGGCAGCAACAGATTTTAGTAAAAGTAGCTTCTTGAGACAGATGATATACTTTCTAAGCTCTTCTTCTAGGCCTTTTYTGGAGCTTATCAATTTATCTAATTAGCCCCTTGTTTGTGTGGCTGTCCAGGGCCTGAGAGCTATCTTAGGAGATACAAGCTTTCCAGGCTCTGCTGTTTCCAATTCCAAGTTGACCACAGAGCAAAATTAAGGTGCTGGCTGCATAAGAATAAGACAATGCAAAGAAATCAAATTAACTTTCAAGGAACTGTTGAAATTGTAAATTAGAATGAAGTTCTAAGTCAATCGCTCTAGGTCTTTTTTCTTTTTCTTGCAATTCGGAGAAATGAGACCAGTTTTAGTGAAATGACTGATCTACTTAGTCTCTTGTTCATCTGATTGTGATGTAAATAGATTTGCAACTCCCCCCTGAAGAGGTGGGAGGAGGACAGGACAGAAGTTAGAATACAGCAGCTCAGATCACCATGTGGAGATGGAAAGATGTGGGTGGATTTAGGGCACTGGAGAGTGTGCCCATGGAGACTCTCCAGGGCCTCTAATTTGTTGACAAGCTTAACAACTGTTGAGCAGTTACATAAATGTGCAGTGAACCCTAAAACAATCTTGCTATCATTAACGTCTTTTTTTTAAAAAAAATATTTCTTGGTTGTAGGTGGACATATACCTTTATCTTATTTTTATGTGGTGCTGAGGATCGAATCCAGTGCCTCATGCAGGCTAGGCGAGTGCTCTACCTCTGAGCCACAACCTCAGCCCTACCATTAACACCTTGAATCAGACATTCCCTTATCTCTCACTTTCTTTTCTATAAATTTCTCTACTATGAAAGAAATATTTATTTGGGTTTCCCTGTCCCCCAGGAGTTACCTGCTTGTGACTGACAAGTTTAAAGAGTARAACTTTGACTCCTTCTCACAATAAATTTTTCTAAGAAGATGTTTAATAGGTCAAAGACAATTCATTTTTTTCTGAGAAGGCTGCTAGACAATGTAATAATGATGACAGTAAGTTTGGTGTGTATAATTCTCTGTTTTACTTCATTTTCACATAGAATCTCACTAAAGAAATATGTCTGTTTATTATCAGGTACAGTCTTGATAAATAATTATAACATTAATCTCCAAGGTTTTAACTTTTCTGAAAAGTTTGGATAATGCTAATGCAAGTGATACAATGTAATATCATTTACTCTGCCAACAATGATTCTTAGCTTAATATAATAATTCACCAACAGTTTGTAGTTTACTATTATTTTCCCCATGTGAAGAGATTAGAAAATTAAAGCACAGGAAATTTTGTGTGTGTGTGTGTGGCACTGGGGATTAAACCCAGGGCCATGGGCATCCAAGACAAGCACTCTACCTACTGAGTCCTTAAAGCACAGGGAATTTAAACAACTTGTTTCTGGTCCTAAAACTGTAAGGAGACAGAATCACCTGCTGTGACTCCAGAGCTCATGATCTTTACTTAGCTACACTGCTTCTCAGATTTCTCTTAGCAGCACCGACTTTGCAATTCTTGTGATTGTCATGAATTCTTATAACTTCACTTATTTTGACACCACAAGGAAGCCTGACAAGTAAGCCTATCCAGAGTTTAAAGCTGAGCTGCTTATGTAGATATCATATATGTTATGTTTATTCTACAATGTGCAGAATATTAATAGTTGTTTATTGAACATTAAGATTTAAAATGATCATTTAAAATGGATATAATTTTAGGTAATTGGAGAATACCAATCCATTTTGAACAAGGTGTTAAAAACTTTTACATATTTATAATACAAACTTATCATCTGTTTTTTTATATTGTGAAACTTTTAAACTCCAGTCCTCATAATGGATTTTTAGTTTAATTATGATGAAAAAAAAAGATGTGGTTCTCCAGTGAAAGATCTGAGTATAATAGTTTTTTCAAATCTCAAAATAGGATTACTGTGACCTCACTTATTTCCTTCTAGTGCTACTTACATTGGTTTGAAAATACTGAACTTAACAACTTTATAAGTTAATTCATCTATGGAGTTAATATCATGCTAATTAAACTATCAAATAATACCTCACTTTCATTTTTAAAGGAAACAAAAAATATGGAGTAATATGAAATAAAATCAGAATCAGGTAGTTTTAAATCAATGTAAGATTACATTTTTAATCTTTTGTCTTGCTCTCATTCCTTCATAAACCACATTCAAAAATATTTTCGCATAGTGAGAAAGGTAGGATTTCAATGAAGATATAAATTTGATGAAGACAGAGAGGCTCAGAAATTCCTAAATTTTTAATTTTGTATAATAATAATATTGACATCAAAGAGATGACCAGACAATTGAAGAAGTAAAATGAACAGAAAAAGATTGAAACTACTTATCTATAGGAGACCCTCTGGAAAAAGACTGCCTTCCAGGCTAAGAAGAAACAGCTGGGTTGGAGTGAAGGCAATGGTTAGGGCCTAATCGCTCTCATTTGCATTCATGTGTCCTAATGAAGTGTGTAAGTAGGATGGATCTCATAGAATGCAGAAACTTGGACCCTAAAGAATGAGAATTTGCCCAGCAGCTCCAGAGACTGAGGTAGGAGGTTCAAGAATTCTAAGCTCAGCCTTAGCAAATTCAAGGCACTAAACAAATCAGTGAGATCCTGTCTCTAAATAAAATACAAAATAGGGCTGGGGATGAGGCTCAGTGGTTAAGTGCCCCTGAGTTCAATCCCAAGTTACACCCCTGGCAAAAAAAAAAAAAAAAAAGAGAACTTGCCATTTGCCTCCAACGTTAGAATACCTTGTTTTGAATGCCCAATTGAGCTCTCTAGTCTACCTGTGAGGGTGTGGTATACACATAGTACGGATTTGTGAGTGATCTCTTATTCAGTAGATATTTATTGAATGTCCACTATGTGTGAGGCATTGTGTTAGATGCTTTCTACATATTAAATCTCAACCCTTCTGCCTGGCTCCAAGATCTTCTACGATCTGATCCTCATTATCTAACTCTTTTCCCTTTTTCTCCCAATACTTGTCTTTATGAAGGGAAGGCTGATCTTCTTTCTGTTTTAGTTGTACATTAAGCTTCTTTTTGTCCCCATTCTGCTGTCCCAACTACTTGGATTTCTCCTCCTTCGTCTCCCACGTTCTGATCTTCAAGGACTCTTCCAGGAAAACCTTCTATGGACAATATAGTTCCCTTTCTCTCTCCCCATCTATCTTGTTTCTAATTTCTACAGCTTGAAACATCTGCAGGAACAATTTTACATCTTGCCTCTGAAGCTAAATTTTAAGCCTTAAGATTATAATTTTGGACTAAGAAAACCTGCTGATATAACGTCATGCCGTGCAAACATTACCTGTGACATTGCAAGTGAATAGTATAGACCTTGTTGTGCCATGAGCTCAGCATGGGTTCCTTTTTCCACCACCATCCCATCCTTTAGAGTCACAATCAGATCTGCACTTCGAACAGTTGAAAGTCGGTGTGCTACCACAATTGTAGTGCGACCTTTGCTTGCCTATACAACAGAAAGCATAGAAAATAAATATAAAATGAGTAGATGTAACCTCTGCAATAGTGAAGAAAACTTCTTTTTGCAGTATTATTTTAATAGAAAAGAATCTTTATTTTTGGATAAGATCATTAACATATGGAAAAGTACACATATTATTAAAGTATAGTCAGTGCGTTTTCAAACTGAATGCAGATTAGAATAACCAGGTGGAGAAATGGATCATTGCCTGTACCCAGAAGTCATCCTCATGCCTCTCAAGTCACCATCWCTACTTGCCCACCAAGGGTAACCACTATCCTTCTTCAAAGAGCATAGATCAGATTGATATTTTTTTTTACATATATGGAATTACACAGCAAAATACTATTCTGGGTCAGAGTATATTTTGTTCAATACTATTCTTTTTAAAAAATATTTACTTTTTAGTTATAGGTGGGCACAATATTTTTATTTTATTATTTTATTTTTATTTGGTGCTGCCTCACACACACTGGGCAAGCGCTCTACCACAAAGCCCCAGCCCCCAGCTAAATAGCATTATTTTGAGATTCCTGCATTTTGTTGCATGTAGTGGCAGATGGTTCATTCTTGTCACTCAGCAGTCCACTGTGTGAATACACCACAGTTTTTACATTCTACTGGTAGTCGGGATGGTAGGCTTCAGGGTTTTTCTATTACATATAGATTCTTGCACATGCTTACTTAGTGAGCATACGTATACAGTTCTACTAGCTCTGCACCACCAGGTGTGCACATGCTCTGTCTCACTAGCCTCTGCCAGCTTTTCAATGGTTGTCCCCTCTACAAAACCCCATGTGCAGGAGAGTCAGGTTGCACTATATTCTCACCAACAGTGGTACTTTCTCTGCCTGATAAATGAATATGGTCATATGGTGGCTTTTATTTTCATTTCCTTGATGACTAATGAAGAACAACTTTTCATGTCATTATTGAAACCTTGAATATTCTCTCTTATGAACTGTCCATTTTATTTATTTCTTTATTTTTGCTCATCTTTCTACTGGAACTATTCTTGTCAATTTTCAAGAACTGTTTATGTATTCTAGCTATGAGGACTTTGTCAAGTACTATGYATTACAATCTGCTTAAGTGGTTGCCTTTTCACTCTCTTAATGGTGTCTCTCTCTCTCTCCTTTTTTTTTTTTTTTTTTTGATACGAAGGATTGAACCCAGGGGAGCTTAAACACTGAGCCACATCCTGAGCTCTTTTTAATTTTTTTAAAATTTTGAGACAGGGTCTTACTAAGTTGCTTAGGACCTCACTAAATTGCTGAGGCTGGCTTTGAACTTGCCATCCTCTTGCCTTGGCTTGGGATTACAGGCATGCCCCATCACACCCGGCCTAATGGTGTCTTTTTGTGTGTGTGCGCGCTGGGGATTGAACCCATGGCCTTGTGTGTTCGAGGCAAGCACTCTACCAACTGAGCTATATCCCCTGCCCCTAATGGTGTCTTTTGATGAACAGAATTTTAAAGTTTTAAGGAAGTCCAATTTATCAACTTCTGTTTTACAATTTATGCCTTTGGAGTCTTGTTTTAAAAATCTTGAAAAAAACCACACAGGTGTTTTTCTGTTTTACCTTACAATATTTAATACTTTGCCTCTTATAGTTAGATCTACCTGGAGTTGAGTTTTTTGTGTGATATCAAATAGGAGTCAATATACATTTTCCCTTATGTAATTAAACAAGTGTCCCAGCAGCAAATTTTGGGAAGACCATCCTTTCTCCACTGCTCATCAACCAGTATTTTATATTTTTATATTTTGTATACTATTCTGCTCTTCTGTTTGTCTATCACTGCATGAATGCAAAATAGATATTGAGATTATCAATTTACATATTTTAGCTTGACTGTTTCCTCCACCTGATGACTTTGGCCACTTTTGAGAGAATGCATCTTTTTTTCTTTTTAAAAATTTCTTTTAAACTTTTTTGATTTTTTAGATATACACAATAGTACAGTGTATTTTGATATATTATACATATATAGAATACAATTTCCCATTTTTTGTGGTTGAACATAATATGGAGTTTCACTGGTTGTGTATTCGTATGTAAACATAGGAAAAGTTATGTCCAGTTCATTCTACTGTCTTTCCTATTCCCATCCCCTCATTCCCTTTACCCCTCTTTGTCTAATCCAGTGAACTTCTATTCTTAACCCCTTACTCCCAAGATAATGTATTTTTTCCTAAATGCTTTGCACATTTTACAAATTTTTTGAGCACTCTATATGCACACTACAAATTTGTAGGGACTCAACATGATAGTTACTATAACTATTCATACTATTTCTATCTCACTCTTCTCATTCTTATCTGTTAAAGACAAGGACTGGAACTCAGAAAATGAAAAAGTTTGTTCAAAGCCTCAGCCAGTCACTGGAAGGATTGGCACTAGAATGTTGAGAGTTTAGTTACTCTCTGTAAAGATCTCTCTGTTGGAGCAGGTATACTTAATGAAGTAGTGAGTACTTTTAAAAATAAATCTTCTGTTCCAAATCTATAAGAGAGGAAAACTTCTCAAAATATTAGTTATTAAAACTGAATGATAGCTGGGCACAGTGGTGCACACCTGTAATCCCAGCTGCTAGGGAGGCTGAGTCAGAAAGATTGTGAGTTCAAAGCCAGCCCCAGCAACAGCGAGGTGCTTAGCAATTCAGTGAGACCCTGATACAAATAAAATACTAAATAGGGCTGGGGATGTGGCTCAGTGGTTGAGTGCTCCTGAGTTTAATCCCCAGTACCAAAACCAAAACAACGACAACAAAAACAACAAAAAATTGAATGATAGTGGAAAACTTATGATATAATGCTATATGGAAAAATATAAGAAAAAAATTATGCATCTTGTTTTAATTATGTTTAAAACTGTATCCATATAAAGAATATACCTATACAGAAATATATCAAAATATTAATGGTGCCTATATGTAATTATTGTATCTATGGATTATCTTTTTATTAATTTCCCCAATTATTTAATATGTATGTATTGCACTTTTGCTTAAAGGCAAGAAAGCTAAAAAAAAGTTGAAAAAGCATGTTTTATTTTTAATAGGTTTTCTTCCTATGGGTAACGTGTGCATATGAGCAATAAATAGATGTTATTATGAAAAACTGAAAGTAGTTACATCATTATAATTGAAGATTTATACTATTATTTTGTAGCATTTTATTATTTTAAGAAAGGCATATTCTGATATGTTTGATTTATATTAAGAGGATCATCTTAAAGTATCATTCAAAATAAGACACTCTTGAGTGGGACAATCCAGGCAGACTGAAACTTTCTCAGGAAAACTGGGAGATGGARTCATGTAAGTACAATTATAAAACATTGAAATATGTGTTTCTGGAGCAAAAAAATTAAAGAGCAATTATGTATACCAACTGTGGTATATCCACACAATGGAGCACTATTCACCAATAAAAAAAGAAATTATTGATGGATTCTACAACACAAATGAGTCTCAAAAACATTAGGCTGAGTGAAAGAAACCAGGCAGAATGGAATACATACTGTATGACTATATTTCTATAAAGTTCTAGAGAATCCAAACTAATCTTTTGTGAGGGTAAGCAAATCAGTGGTTGCCAAATGTCAGAAGAATGTCAGAAGAGGGTGGGGGAGGGTCCAGATGGAGTGGTTACACAAACATCTAAAAAACATGGTTGACAATCTTGATTATGCTGATGGTTTCACAGGTGTGCATATATGTCCCTTTTTCAGTTGTATGTTTTAATATGCAGTTAAGTTTAGGTTATTTAAGCAATAACAACAAAAAATGCTGTTAAGAAAAAAAAGTCAAGCAAAATAATATATTGTATACAGCACACTGGTTGGTCATTTTTTATGTTCAGCAGAAATTCTGAATGATGCCGAGACATTTTAATGAATGCCCCTCAGACAAAATAATCAAGTGGATTAGGGCAACTCTGATGTAGCATTATCTGTAGGAGAATTTCTTTTTCTTAACTTCATGAAGGTCTGACAATAAACACATTAAAATATTATTAATTAGCACTTACTTATTAGCATATTCAAATTTCTTTAGCAATTTTATGCAACATACATCTTCAGCAGAGAATTATAGTGACCATCAAAAATTTACTGTATCCTTTATTTTTTATATTGCCAAACATAGAGAAATTTTATTAAATGAATTAGTAGATGAGGGTATTTGGGTATTTGAGGGTATTTGGTATTTGCCTTTTGTTTTTTTTCCCTGTCTCTCATTTAATTTTATCTGTTAATTCTAAGCCTGCTAATGTAGAAGCATCTTTATAAATGATAGAACAAAAATTGGTAAAAATGAAACTAGTTTTTTAAAATAAAAGTTTTATTTTAGAATAGTTTTATATTTGCAGAAAAATTGCAAAGATACTATAGATATCTTCCACATACTCTGCAAATATATCATCCCCTGTGCTAATAAATAATGCATTTGCCACAAATATTGAAGCAGTATGGGTACATCATTACTATCTAAACCCCATGCTTATGTGAAGTCCTCTACTATCTTTTATCCAGTATGCTTCTTCGGTTCTAGGATCCTCAAAGAATGTCATGTTCCACTGAGTCATCATGTCTTCTAAGCCTCCTCTTGGCTGTGGCAGTTTCTCAGATCTCCCTACTTTTTGAGGAACATAATAGTTTCAAGGAATACTAGTCACATGTTTTGTAGAACCTGTCAATTTAGTTTGTCTGATGTACTTATGTTTTAGTTATAAGACATATTGCCTATACTAAGCTCATTTTTCTTCTGGAACTTCAAGTATGAATTCTATTCTGGGTCTTGGGGACTCTGGGACTTGCCTATAACCCTTTAAAAGGGAATGTAAGAATACTATTGTTGAGCAGGTATGCATTAGAAAGGTGACCACAATAGTCTGAAAACAGGTGTCCTGGCTGCTGGCCTAAGCCCCTCCCATTTGGTCAATTACATTCCCTTGGGGTAACAAATATTCTTTTTTACAAG